TTGAAACCCCGTCTACCACTACATATTGCATTTAAAACTCCTATATAACGAAACTCCTTTATAACGAACTAATTTCAAGTCCCTGAGCGATTCGTTATACAGGAGTTCCACTGTATCTAAAAAAATATTTTAAAAACTTAAAAATCCCCCTTATCAAGCACCTCTTACAGCCTTATTTCACCCTATTTTCCCATGCCCAAGAATTGTTGCACAAAGAAAGGAGCGATAATTTAAACACCGGCCGAGTGAGCACTTTCTTTATGTCATAATTGCAGGTTATCTTGAAAACAATTTGCCGATCGCGTAAACAACATGTTATCATTTACTATGTGTTCATTTATACAGGATGTAAACATTGAAATTGTTTTTAAAATTGATGAAATTTGAAAAATGCACTTTTTCTTTAGTTCAGGGTCGGGTCTTTAGAGACATTGAGAGTGAGTTTGGTCAAAAAGTAAAGAGAAAAAATGAAAGTTTACTCAAGCTTATGTAGAAAAAGGCCATTATACGTATATTTTGACAATTTTTCACCTAGTCGTCCTTACCGTACCTCATTATTCCTTACCTTACCCTACTCTACCCTGATAATAGAAAGTATAAGGTTTGCTACAGTAGGGAAAAGTAAGGTAGGATAGGGTTAGGTAGAGCGAATTAAGGAACGGAAAAGTACAGTAGAGAAAGTAGGATTCGATATAGAGGGGTAAGCTAGTGTAAGATATGTTACACTAGGGTGACAGAAAGTAAGATAATGTAAGTTAAAAGTTTAAAATGTAAATTTCTGTCTCTCTATCGTAACTTACTTTGGCTTACCTTACTTATCTTACCCTAACCAAACCATATATACCTTTTACGAACTTACCCCTCCCTACCATATCAAAGCCTACACTCTCTACCGTACTTTACTGTTTTTTACTTTACCCTATCCTTCCTTACCCTTCCCCTCTCTGCTATACCAAACCCACCCCCTCCCCTCTCTATCGTAGATTACTATCCCTTGCCTTACCCTATTCTACGCTACCCTACACCTCAACACCCTATCAAATCCCACCCTCTCTACCGTACCTTACTATGCCTTCCTTTACCCTAATCTAAACCATAACAGTATTATAAAAACCTCGCCAAAATGTCTCCTCAAAAACAAAAATACTTTTCAAAAATCAACAAAACCCGTCTCAAAAACACATCTGATACCGGCGTATAAAATTACCTTACTAACATGTTTTGGTACAAAAACTGTTTATCCAGACGAATATTTGTTTTTATACTTTTTGACGATCAATAGCTTTTTTTAAATTTATGAGCCAAACAATTATAAGATAATGACGTAGATAGGGAATTCTTATCACTAGACTTTAATCATAAATATTTATTGTAAAATTATTTTTGGAAGGATTGATAAGATCTTGCAAAGGGCTTTGAGCTAATTATAGAAAGCCGTAGCCCATCACAAAATTTTCGGATCTATTCTACTCTAGCCTGCCTTATCTTATATATATTCTAAACAACCCTACTTTATTTCACCCTACCCTACCCTAGCTTATTATAACCTGGCCTGCCCTAACATAACTTAACTATCCTTCTATACCTTATATTACCATACTCTGCCCTGCCTTGCCTTGCTAACATAAGGTCTTACCCTACTTTAATTGATGTAGCCTAGCAATAAAAGGCCCAAAATGGACTAAAAAGTTAAAGTACCACCTTAAACACGGTTATCAACCCAATAAATAACTATAACGCTAGCTCTACCCAAGCCTTACCAAAATTTATTACAAATACACTGCCCTACCACAATATCTTTTAAAAACATATCTTTCCCACACTTTTATCAGCCTTACCCCCACAAATTTAAACCCTACCCCTAATTAAACCCCCTATATTCACCTTACCACTAGGCACCTCCAGCCGTTAAACACCCAAATTAAGCCCGAATATAAATGATTGTTTGGCCTACTCCCCTCGCTCTTCTCCGCCTAATAAAAGGAAAGGCTAATATGAAAAAGCTTCTCGTTTATATGATAGACCGCGAACTGTACACACACAGTTCAGTTCTTTTTGTTTACGACCAACTGAACTGACCTTCACCCCCACCAACTCTCTAACCGGTGTTGTCACTTTTTTCGCGCAAAATCAAACTTTTTTGTGATGAGAGCGGGAGCTGAGTAAAAGGGGAAAAACGTGGTTAACATGGGTAATATAACCTGTGTTTTTGTAGAAAATATTAGGTGCCGACATAAAGAAGCAGCCATACTTTGCATGTAATTTCCTGTAAAAAAATGGCGGGTTCTTTATGTCGGCACATAATATTTTCTACAAAAACACAAGTTATATTACCCATGTTGGTTCGGCATGCTATATAGGTTGAACCAAAAGTAGCGGGACACTATATTTTTGTTTCGACTAAAAAGTGTCCCGCTACTTTTGGTTCAACCTAACATAATAATAAAAGTAGAGGAATGTCTCCTGCTTTAAGAAACAACAGTAAAAGCCAAATAAAGCAATACCTAATGTAAAATATACATCCAGACAACCTATACAAAGATAACAAGCCAATTTTGAACGTTTTTCGAACGCCCTCAAAAGCTAAGTGAATAAAAAACAAGATTTACCTAGAAAAGTGGATTAGAATCACAAAGACAATGTAGTCGTAACCTTGTTACTTCGAAAAGAACACCAAATGACGGATGTGTCTCAATTTGAAACATTGAAACACAAGTTGTATTTGAGAAACAATGATTGGACAATGTTAATGTAAATGAGCAATCGTTTCTTTTGCTACAAAGTAGAAAACTACAGTTACGACACATAAAAATAAAAAAAATAAAGAGCAATCCCACAATGTAAGATATGTAGAGAAGGTAACCTGATTTTACCCAAAAAGACGTCAAAAGAATAGAATGTCAGACGTTTGATTGTTTGTTATAGATTGTGAATAAGATATTCATGTCCTTTTTTACCTTTACAAATTGTTTCTTTTCTATTTTTTACAATGAAAAAATAAAAAAGAGAAACCTCAATTCAAGCCGAATATTGGTTTCAAAAGGGTATTCATAGACAAGCCAAAAAACACTAGTTTGGGGAAGAAATGCGGAAAATCCACCCCTCTCATAACCGATCCGACAAAAATTCTACAGGCAATGTTACCTGCAGAAAAATTAAAAAAAGGTGCACAAGTAGCTCCTGTAAAGCAAACAATCTGGACCTCATCACCAGATAGAAAAACCCTGTCCCTGGATACGCATACATACCTTATATTCATGGTCCACCAAAATAAATTTTCAAAAAAAGTTGAACTTGGTCCACCCGTTGATTTTTATTAGGTGTTTGCGAAAGTTTCTGGCCAATTTTTCAAAAATTTTTATAAAAATTTTGGACAGTTCTAGAACTTTCTGTTGGCAATCTGTATAAAGAGATGTCCAATAACCAAAAACAATTGCATGTTAAAGCTTTCTGTTGTTTACGGTAGTTAAAGAAATCAAGGTGAAACACAATCATGTTCGAGCAGTGTTGCTTCTCAAATTCCGTGGCACGGCAACGCAACAACAGCGACAAAGAAAAGATGCAGTGTTGTAGGGCCCTTAGTGGTCTCTTACAACACCACAAAAATTTGGTTACACAAGTTCAAAAACGGCGACTTTGACATGTCCGAAAAATCGAACTGGTAGACCATCAGTGTTGAAGAAACCCCACCTTCTGAAGCTGACCGAAGAAGACCCCAGACGAACATGTACTCATTTGACTGTAGAGCTTCAGTGTGACCCTTCTACTATATTAATTAGACTTCACAACCTTGCGAGATTATTTTTTTTTAATATTAAATTTTGGTAAAGACAAAAATCGGCCAGAAACTTTCGCAAACACCTAATAAAAGTTTATTTTACACTGTTCCCCTACCCTTAGACCAAAATCACCGGTTTAGAATCGCTTGCCGTAGAGTAGCCTTTAATAATCATTTTTTAGTTCTACCCACCTTATTAGCATGCCAAAAACGGCCATTAAAATTGGTTAAACTTATAAGTAAACATCATCCCTAGTCCATCCTACTCTACTCTGCCCTAGCTTACTCTACCTTAATCTACCCAACTTTATCATACAATGCCTTAAACTACCCTACCCTACACTGCCCTGCGATACAATACTATAACATACCCAATCATACCCTACCTTAATACCTTACCCTACACTGCCCTATCTGTCTTTCCAATTGCAACCTACCAAAACAACGACCGTATTTTACCATTCTGTTCATTATATTGTAATCTTTACATTTACATCAATATAAAGTCAGCATATTATCACCACTTTCTTTACGTATTAATTGTTTATGTAATTTAAACTGATATTAACATAGAAATGTAAGAGGAAATGTGGCAAAAATAATAAATTAACAACATACGACAAAGCACAGTATTGTACCGGGGAGGAGATACGATTACAACTTTAGTTTTACATATCGAATACGGCGGTTTTGAAAGTTACGCATCGTTTAACTTTGAATTTTTTTTCAAAATTTAAAATTTTTTAAAAATTTTAAAAGTTCAAAAAATTTAAAAACCCCCTGATATGTTTATAGCGACCTATACAACGGCTTTTAAGTTACTATTCAAAGTCTAGTAGATAATAATACTTAGATAACAAGGTAAAATGATCTCAACAGTAGTGTAAATTACTGTAGTAGAGGTTACAACAGTAGTAAGTTAAAAAGAATGACATTTCTCTGTATAGTAATACTTGTAAGTTCGAAAAGAGTTATTGTGCCTATCATTTACATCATGAAATGTTGCTACCATAACATTCCGTATATATCAAAATATCATCATATCAACATACCAAGGTAAAGTAGCACTAGTGGCAATGTATTTGTACAGACAGTAAAAACATTGTATAATATAATAATTTACATTATTTTATGATTAAAAAAAATTGTTTTCAAGGCACTTGTACTATCAACAACCAAAATATTAGCCATGGCTAGCCATTACAACCATATTTTAGCCACTTTACATTTCATCCGCAAACTTGATATCAACTGATCTCTCCTGTAATCAAGTGTGTAAGTGTGTTGTTATATATAATTATATTGTGGTAATTGGCTTAAAATTGCTTTTTATATTGATTATTAACCCGATTGTACTAGTTCAGGTTTATAAAAGCACTGAGATAGCTATAGTTAGCTATAAAGCATTATCTTGTGATATTGTAGTAGGTTATTATAGTTTTTTCTATTTACTATCGTTTCTTTTAATAAAACACGCTTAATTTTAATTCCAGATGGTTTATTTAACGTTTTTTACCTTTCTGGACCAGTTTCGTATATTTCCGTTTTTCCTTTCGTATAAAATAATCGCGCAGCCTGCAGCAACGCAATTGTTAACGGACGCGAGTTGTGCTCCCAAAATTAGCTCTTTACTTTCGAAAGCACGGCCAAGGTGTAAACATTGACATTCCAGATAATATTATTACTATTTTGCACCCACACACACCATAAATGATTGTTTTGCCTAATATTAACCTCAATTTCCCATATTTTTATCATGAAAAGCCGCCTACCTTATGTTTGTCCAGGCCATTCCCGTTCGTGTTCAATGGTTTGTTTTCATCTTGTCCAACATTGATTTTAGATCGATTCATTATTATTTCAGCTCTCATCGGCTCGTTATCCAGACTGGTCAGCTTGGTTTTTGCCCATTCCGGCTGGATATTGATGTACTTTCCGTCTTTTGATGTTTCATTCTTTACGGTGATCGGAATGTTTCGGGTTTTTGGCCTGAAATTGATTATATATATTGTTTTAGGTCTAAAATCAATTTTCTAAAGACAGTCTTCAGAAATGATGTTGTGGTAAGTCTTTTTATTTATTGTGTTCTGTTTTTAGGTGTTGATGTCGAAAAATGTAATAGCAGTTAAGGAAAACCATCTTCCTTCATTCAATTATATACCTAAATCAATTATATACCTAAACCAAATTCTTCTCCATCTTTCAAGTCCATATTTACCCGTTAAAACTTTGATATTACCCAATATTTATTCAATATTATCTTACCCATCCTTTTCCTCATTATTGTTGTTTTCCAAGCTGCTCGCTGAAACCAGAAGTCCTCCGACTTTGGTTGCACCTGGTTGTGGATAAATAGAATGTAGTTTTGATGCATTTTCCAATCGTTGAAGCTTGGATGCGAAGGTGGTATGTTCAGGGGAATCGACTTTGTCTCCGTTCACTGGAGTTTTGACTGATGGGAAGGTTGTGACATTCTGTAAAGAGCAATTTAAGCATAAAATAACTCGACCATATTATTTATAATTATAAAACTTTTGACTATGAATTGAAGTGTGTTTCGATCTAATTTTAATAAGTATTTGGAGCTAAAAGTGGCTTCATATCATGGTGAATATAAAAAATTGTGAAAAAATAGGGAAATCAGTTATTTTCTTATAAAAACATAACTAAAAATGATCTAAAACATCTTTATTTATTGATTGAAGCATATAAAACACCAAATAATGCCTATACCTCTAAAATAATATCCGCCAAACTAAAAACCGCACTTACATTCGGTGTGGGTGTGACACTGAAAGGGGTGGAAAGGCGTGAATCCCCACTCCTGACCGGGACCTTGGGACGTTCCGGGGTCATTGAGCCGATGCCTGAGGAGGAGCGGTGTGCTGGGGTTTCGTTAAACATAGGCAAAGTCGAGTGGGAGGTGTGTTGGTCGGAAATCGAAGGCAAAGTAATTGAGGAGGAGGCGAATGAGGATTCAGCGCGCGGATCCGAGGTTTTAGTCTGGAATAGAGCGGAGGCTAGTTTTGGGTGTTAATATGGATTCGAAAATATTGTTTTAGATCAAATACGTTGGCAAAAAATGTTGTGTGGTTTACTTTATCTAAATCTCAATCAAAACCCGGGTCTCAGCTTCAGAAGCTTTTTTTTTGTTGATATTTTAGGCTTATAGGCTTTAAAAATCATATTCTGGAAATTCTAGTCTAGTAGGCCATAAAAAATCACTTTTTGAAAAGATTTCAAGCTGAAAAGCTGTAAAACGGACATGTTAGCATGTGAAACAAAGTTTGTTACGTTAATAAGAAATCAATGTTAATATATTCGTTGGTATTGACCAGTGAATGCTAAAAATACGAACATAAAACACAAAAAATCGAAAAAAAAAAAAAAATGAAAGCTAAAATAAAAAAAATTGAAATTCAAGAAACTTATTGTACTATCAAGCACAGTACCTCCTCGCATGAAGCTCAGTGCACAATGTTACTTTTACTGTCAAGAACAGTACCTTATAGTACTAGTACTATCAAAAACAGTACATCATCATACTAGTACTACCATGACTAATACCTATACCCATAAATACAACCAAAATTAGTATCTAATCACATCAATATTACCCAAAAAACCATCAAAAACCACCAAAACCCTTACCGAATCACTTGAGTTAAACCCATCGCAGACCAGCAACCGGACTAGGCCTTCTGTTTTGCGCAGAATTTGGGCGGCCTCGCTCTTGGTGCAGCCCAGAAGGGATTCATCGTTGACTTCGATGATTCGCACTCCTCTGGCTAGTCCATCCACATCCGCAACACAGCTTCCCGGCTCCACACGCTCAATAAACACGCCCTCGTCGGTGGGGTCGGTTGGGTTGGCTGGTGGGCAATTGATACCGCCAAAGATGGCTAGTCCAATCTGTTCGCCTTTTCGTCGATTGAAGTAGATCTCTATGAGGCCTCGAGGCTGTGGGTCGTGACAGAGGCCTAGTTTCAAGGTTTTGCCACTACTTTTTAGGGTTTGAACGGCTTCTGAATGCTTGGCTTTGGTGAGATCGTGGCCATTCACTGATAAGATCCTATCGCCCACCCTTAGGCGTGGTATTTGGCTGGCCTGGGAGTTTCGACTGATTTTGCTGATGAAAACTCCTGGTCGGTCGATGCCAAATGGATGGGAGCAGTGGTCGACTCCACCTACTATTGATAGGCCTAGGGAGTTGTTGTTGTCCCTGGTTAATTCAACGTAGTCCGTGGTACCATCAGTGATCGTGGATGTTGATTTCGGATCTTTTGAGGTAAAGGTTGATGTTGAATTTTTGATGGTCTTTGGATCAGTTGAAGATGGGTAGGTTGAAGAAATTCCAGGTTTTAGACTAGACTTTAATGGCTCTGAGCTTTGGCTGGCTTTGATCGCTTCTGAAGCGCGTGACGGTGACAAAATGGATTCCGAAGCCCTTGAAGGCCCAAAAGCAGAGTCAGAAGGTCTTGTAGAAGCCAAAACAGAATCCACATTCCTGGCTCCGGCTTCTGAATTCCTCAAATTTCCCGTCAAATTACCCAAACCTCCATCGGTTACTCTTTGACCGGTCGAAAATCCATCCAAGCCCTTAGTGCCAACCGGCTCCGGCGTTCTTCCGCCTTTCATTGGCTCTGTACTCCTTTGGACCACCAAATGCAACTCGACCGGTCGATCTGTGGGGGGTCTTTGTAGCATTGCCAATGCTTTTTCAAACTCCATACCCAACAAGCTTTTGCCATTTATGGCCACAATTTCGTCGCCAATCCCGATTTTATTGTCCTGGTCGATGAGGCCGCCCGGTGTGATGTACTGAACGCGGAGGGGTGACTTTTGGGGTGGGTGTGGTTGGTGTGCAACATTGACATGCCCAGTTGGCGGCGTGGGTCCCACTGAATGGTGGTTGATATGGCGTTGGCGATGGTAGTGACCCCGTTCTCCGTGATTCCGGCCGTTTTGAAGAGCTTGTTCTGAAGAAAAATTGAATTTTAGGTATGAAATCAGGAGGCATTTTAGATTTTTTTTTGTAAAAAAATGACAAAGCTATGTTAATATAATCATTTTTTCAAGTTTTTGATATCTAAACTATAAATAATCTTGATCAAAGTTGAAGGAATCACTAAAATTTAGCCAGAAACCCATAAAAATAGTGATTCTGCAACCTTTTTGACCGAAATAGTCCCTGTTCTGGACTAAATGATACCTTATTCCAAAGGCCAAAACATTTTTTCAAAATTTCATAAATTTCAAACAGCTAAATCTAAAGAAAATGGCTAAAACAATGCTTTAAGGCCAATAATCTTCCTTCCTTTTGCTTATATTTACAAAGTTTTGAAGTTTAAAGCCGAGCTGTGAATAAGAAATAGTTTAGAAACGCCTTTTCCTAGTCAAAACGAAACGTCTTTGGCGACATAAACATTTGGAGCTGGAAGAGCTTTTGGTCTTGAGAATGTTTAGCTAAACAAAACTTTAAATTTTTTAAAAAAATTTTTAAAAAATTATGACAAATGCAAAAAAAAGGTATTTAAATTCAAAGAAAAAAGTTTTACAAACCAGTTAAGATAGAATAGATTGAAAAAGATACCAATTCTGCTATACATTATCTTATTTTGCCATACATTATCCTACCCTTTATCCTATCTCACCCAACCTTACACTACTACCTTACACTGCACTACCCTCAACCCTATTCTTCTCTACTGTACCGTATGCAGCCATACAGTAGCCTTATTATACCTTACACTAGGCATAGCTTCACTTATCCCACCTTGTCTTAGTCTACTCTTTTCTAAATCACCTTACCCTACCATTCCTTACTCTCCCACATGCCCTACAGTATTGTTCCGCGAACTACTATTTATACTACCCTACATTACTTATTACACTACTAATCTTTTCCCTATTTAACATTACCTTAGCGCGCTAAGCTTAGCGTACCTACCATAAATTGACCTTACTATACCTTACACTAGCCCTAGCTCCACTTTTCCTACTGTCGCTTTACAAAATTGAAAAACAGGGTACTTCATCGCATTTTGGTTTACCCATTTCTAAATCACCTTATTCTACCCTACCCTTATCTATCCTGTGATATATCCTGCCATACCTTACCCTAACTTACCATACCTTACCCTATCCTGCCATACCCTACCCGATCATCATTATAAGTCTTTACAAGACCCTACTATAACATTACCCACTCCCACTGTTCACATTTTCACCAATATATTACCTTTTCCTCGCTGATAAGTTGATGTAGAGAAGTTTGGCTGGGTGTTCGTTTCAATGGTCGTTGAATGACCAACTCCACCACATTCGAGTTTTGTTGAACACACTGAACTGCGATATCGTGTCGTTGATTCACCATGCTGGTCCCGTTGATTTCCAAAAGTTTGTCGCCGACCAACAAACCAGCCTTTTCGGCCGGTGCTCCTGGCGTCAGTTTGGAGACAAACAAACCCGTGTCATTGTCCTGGAAAGGGGGTTTTGAGTTTGGCATTGATTATATAGTAGGGAAATTTATAGTTAATTGATATTTTAGGTATGGAATTAAAACAAAATATCATTTTAGGAAAGAAAAACTCAAAGTTTTTGAAAAAGTGTAAATTAAGTAACAAAAATTCAAAAGTTACGAAAAAATTGTCCCTTACTGTTAAATAACAAACTGAAAATTAAAAATATATAATTTTGGGTAACAAAAACTCAAAAATTTCAAAAATGTGTTTAGGTAAAAAAGATTCGATTTTTCAAAAAAAACGTATTTTAGGTAACAAAAAATTCAAAAAATATTTCTGATATCAAATATTCCGAATTTAAAAAAAATACAAGTTTAGGTAACAAAAACAGCAAATTTTCGAAGAAATCGTATTTTACGTAACAAAATCTCAAAATTAAAAAAAAATCGTATTTTAGATAACAAAACCTCAAAATTTTCAAAAAAAATTGTATTTTAGGTAACAAAATCTCAAAATTTTCAAAAAAATCGTATTTTAATGTAACAAAATTGAAAAATATCGTCATGTTCTTGGTAAAATACGTATTATCAACTAAAAAACTATAAACTCACAATAAAAGGCGTGGACTCAATACCGCCAGCGATGGACAAGCCGAGTCCAACATTGGGCTCACGGCGAATTGTAAGACGTCTTGTTTCGGAGTTGGAACTGTTGCCGGGGGCGGCCGGAAAGGGTTGCCGGTTCTCCTAAAACACCGTCGGTTATGGTTTTTAGCGTTGAGTTATGATACGACAATTTACGACGGACAAAATGAACAAAAACTACTGTAATATCGTGGTATTTGAGTAATTATGGTGGTTTTTTAGTGGTTTTTAGGTAAAAAATTCATTTTTTTCAATTTTTTAAAAGCTTTCAGCTTCTGTAAAGCAATAAAATTGTTTTCAAAAGCTGTAAAAATGATTATCTTACCCGTATTTTACAAAAAACCATTAAAATTCACCTTTTTCCCTCATAAAACTACCTATAACAATATAACGCTAAAACTTTTTTGACCCAAAATCAAAAACTTTTTAAATACCACAAAATTACAGTACTTAATACAAGTTATTTACAAGTGCATTGTGTTAATAGTGCTGTAAACAATCCCAGTCCATTCGAAAGGAAAGGAAAGAGCTTGAGCATACTGCAGGCTGCGCGCATCGGGCGCAGCTCGAAGATTTTAAAAAATCGTTCGGCTAGTCTGGGATTGTTATTACTGTGACAAACGTGGGTTAGACACTCCAGAAATGTTATTTTTAAGCTTTAGCAGTATCTTTTAAATTTTAAAAAACTAAAAATTTTAAATTTCAAAAATTTTTTAAAATTCAATTTTTGAAGAGTATTGTTAATGATATCAACCGTTATTAGTAAAAACTAATCAGATATGTTAATATATGTTATTCTTAAAGCAATTTCATTCTTAAAACCACCAAAAAACCTATAATAATATCTAAAATCCTCAAAAAACCATCAAAACCTAGGTTAAAATCACGAAAAACTACTGTAAAACGCGTTAAAGTTACAGTAAACCGAAAAAAGTGGTGCTGACACAACAAGAAACAACCACAAAACAAACACACAAAGTCAAAAACGTATGCTACAGGGTTCGGAACACCATCTGGCGCTGTTTTCATCACATTACACTACTAATCAGACCAAAGTTTTTTGATTCAGAAAAGACTGTTTTTAGTCATAAAACGTTACTACTTCCACATTTACATTTACTTTTGGATTAGAAAAACCAAAAAAAATTTTAAAAAAGTTGAAAATTTCAAAATTTTTTTAAATTTCATTTTTCAAAATTTTTTTTTAAATTTTTAAATTTTAAAAAATTTACATATTTTAAAGAACGCCTCAGGCTGATGGCCTTAAAAAGCTGCTTAAAATGTCAAACAGACCTTTAAATTCGAAAAAATCAAATTTAAATTTTTTTTTCAAATTTTAAAATTTCAAAAAAAAATTTTTTTAATTCCAAATTTCTATGACCGCCTTAGGTTAAAACTTCCAAAAATCTCTTAAAACATCTACAGAAAACCTTAAAAATGTTTAAATACCAAAGGAAATTCCAAATTAAATTTTTTTTAAAATTCAAATTTTTAAAAATTCTAAACCCCTCAGGCTAAGAACTTCAAAAGTTTCTTAAAACACCAAAAAAACCTTGAAGATCTTAAAAATCATAAAAAACCAAAAAAAATTTCTAAATTTTTTTTTTCAATTCTAAAAATTTTAAAAATTTCTAAAACTGCCTTAGGCTAAATGTCCCAAACACCCTTTTAAAAAAGCCAAAATACCTGTTACCGACCAAAAACCAAATTTAAAAGACTCCAAAAAACTATCTAAATCGGGGGTAGAATGACGATGAAACAACACCAGACAGTACCTGAACGTCACAACCTGTTGGATTCACGCGGTGCATCGATCCGAATCCCTGTTGCTGTTGTTGTTGGGCGGCGAGACGGGCTTGTCGGCCGTAGTGCGGGGTGTTCACTCGTTTCAGCCGGCACTCCTCCTGCTCCAGTTCGGGTTCGTGTCCGGCGGCGTCGGCCGGCAAATCGAACGCCACGTTTCGGCCCTGAACCAAAGGTAAGAAAGGAAAGCAGTTCGAGAGGGGGTTGGGGCGTGATTAAAGGACCACTGATATTTCTTGAAACCTTGGCGTTCTGTTTCAAAAAGGCGCAAGTTCGTTGATAATTTTAAATTAAGATCGGCCTAACAATTTTTTTTTTTGAAAAAATTTTTAATTTAAAAAAAAATTTTAATCGCTTGATTATAAACGCTTTCTGCCACAGAATGCCAACGATTTGCAAGTAGAATTTGTGGTCCTTTAAGAAAAAGAAAAGCAAAACGGCTCAGAAGGTTATGTTTTGAGAGAAATGAGGAGACTTGTGGGTATTTGTTTGAGGATAAACATAGGGTTCAAAAGGGCTTTTGATTACTTCGTGGCAAAAAAACTAGCTTTTTGTCGCAGCTGAAGTTGAAAAGTGATTTTGCCTGGAGGAAAAAAAGTAAAGAAAGTATAATCGTTTCTTTTCAAATTATACAAGATGGGCTTTAAATATATACTATATTTTACTGTCATTTAAAGGCTTTCACTATAGTTCATCATAAGAAAGCTTGTGTTCATTAAAAATGGCATTTAAGTTTACTTTTAAAGCCTTAAAAAAAGTTTTGTCGTCAATTTCCTAAGAAAAAACGTGTAAAAAACGACAGGACTTTTTTTTTGCAAGAAATGACAAAACTTTTTAACTTTTTTATATTATTAGGTGCCGACATAAAGAACCCGCCACTTTTCACAGAAAATTACAGGCAACGTATGGCGGTTTCTTTATGTCAAAAACTAATATAAAAAAGTCTTGTTGTTAATTGATAATACCTTGCACATTGAAAAACGACAACCCTTCTTTTGATTCCCTAATTGGAGTTTAAAACATACGGGTTTATATTGAACGGACTAAACTAGGTAACAACGATATATGGTTTAGGAACACAAAGGTAACATCAGGTATAAGAAAATTTGGTCAAAAATGTCGATTTACGCTAGTTATTAACCGAATCAGATACCAATTAATAATATACTCATTACTAAACTACCTAATTTTATATTGCACTACGTCTTCATTATCAATTTCCTAGACTTTTAACCAAGGTTCTAGTATATTATAATAGAATTACAACTATAAGTAACTTATACATCTTTCCCTTACTATCATGCTACTTAAACCCAACTAAAAATAATTGTAAAAAGCGAGGTGAGCAGCATTATATGGTGTGAGAAAGCTAAGTATTAACCATGGTGGCAAGCTGTGTATAGCCATGAGCAACGAGCCAGGGCTAAGAATTTTTTGAGATAGTCAAGCCAGGCCTAAAATATGAGTCCGGCACTCGAAGTAGGCCCAAAAATTGAAGCCAGCCCTTAAGAAAAGCCTAAAAATTCAGCCCGGCCCATTGCTCATGTCTAGCTGTGTTATATTAGGTATAACTCTGCTTTTTAACTTATCAAAAGCCTAACAATTTGTGTGTTAGAAGCCTATAAACCTATTAGAAGCCTATATTATAAAGGTATTCATGTCCTTCACCTTAAGCCTGTTAAAACCGTGCTTCATGCAATAAGAAACCTTATGTCTGTTAAATTTGTGAACCAGACCCTGAATGGCCCTGAGTATATCAGACCCTCACTCAAAGGCACTGAGTATATCAGACCCTCAAAGGCCCTGATTATGTTAAGGTAGTGTATTATAGGTAATTTGAATCGCAAGCCGTGACTTTGATGAGCAGAAGCGTGGGTAAGACAACTTATCATAGCGTATTGTCTTGTTTATCATAGTATTAAGGTGTAGGAAAGTGTTGTCGTTGATTTACAATATTACCAGTGATAAAAAACGACATAACTTTTTTCACCATAATACTATAATATATCGACATATATCATAATATTAGGCTCAAAAAAGTTTTGTCGTCAATTTACATTGCTTACAATGATAAAAAAACGTCAAAACTTTTCTTTCACCCTAATATTATAGTATATAGTCAAATGAATCATAATATCATCTCGTATATAAGCCTAACGTACCTTCGTAGCCGCAGCAGCCGACGACACATAGTTGGCTGTCTCACCTCCGGGCAGGTTATGAACTGGGGGGTGTTTAAGTGAAGATTTGGGTTGAAGTGAAGTTGAAGGTTGTTGGTCGATCGAGTCGGTTGCCGAAGTCTTTTTGGTCAATGACACGACTGATGGCCGTCGATCGTCTTCATGTGGTATCACATGCCCATCCACATGACTTTTGTTCTTCATGGCTTGGTGTGGCTTCGGGTGGGGTGTTGTGGCGTTCAAAGTTGGTGTTGGTCGCTGGCACTGCTTCCTCCTCCTTTTGATCGCCGAAGTGAACTTTTGGGCCGCCGAGGAAGGCCGCGTTCCGATTCGCACTCGAATTGCCGTCTAAAAATAGATTGAGCGTTAGTCTAGAATTAGGTCGAGGGTTAAGCTAGGTGAATGAGGAAAGAATACTACAATGCCTATCTAATCTCACTACATAGTATTACTGCTACTTCTAGTACAATTTTAATCTTGTTATCGACTACTTGTTAATTAGTTTCTGGCAGTGAAATCGCTAAGAGAAGGGGGTAGGAGTAATAATAAAGAAATAGAAGGGAAGAAGAGAAAAGAATAAGCGTAAAAGTAGGGACAGAGAGAGAAATAAAAGTACAATTGCTGACAAATGCTGAAGCAAAGCTAGAGATAAGGGTAAGAGCAAGTACAAAGATAGAATTAAGGGTAGGGTTAGGAATAGAAGTCATGATAGTGAACACACATTGCTCTAACTCTTACTGACATGGAAGCGCCTATCTGCCATGCTCAAAATTAACTCAAAATTTTTCAATAAATTCTTAGTACCACTAATAGTACCCATAAAAAATTTTAGCTCGCAGTTTTGAATTTTAAAATTAAATATTTGAAATTCCCGCCAATTTTGAAAATTTGGCATTGTGTTTCAAGCCCTTTTGTGCAAGCTACGCTCACAATTTTAAAAATGTAGGTCCATTGAAAAGTTTTATACTATTATATTGAAGAAAAATAATTAAAAATGAAAAATTGGCAAAGTTATAAGCTTCAAACACAATGCCAATTTGGCGGGAAATTCAAAACGTATATTTTAATCTCAATTTTTTCAATATTTCCCGGCAAAAGAAATGTAGTATTTTGCTGAAGGGGTTATATTTACATGATCTTTTTATATAAAAAGTTTGAAGTCAATCAGAGCTGGGCAAGTCGGGCCCTTCCTTGTAAGCCTATCCATTACCTATAAAAATACCTATAACAACATCCTATTCCCTATAAATTTAAAAACCCAAACCAAACTCTTACCATTAAAATGCGCAGCTCCTTGTTGTGGCAACAAATAGCATGTCAACACATTAATTCCGGTATTAACATCTCGATCCGGTGCCAACTTCAACATGGCTTGAGATTGATTCTCCGATAGCCACAGGGCTTGCAGTTCGTACAAAACGTTGACAGTGTATGGCAAATGCTCTAGTTTATTGTTAACCACATCTAATACCCGCAGTTTGGCCAGTTTGCCGATTTCCATCGGCAATTGAGCAATTTGATTGTCGCGAAGAGAGAGCAGAGCCAGGTTTTGACAGTTTCCTATCTAAAATACGACGTATTTATGAGATTAAAGCAAAAATGTATAATTTTCAAAAATAAAAATTTTAAAAAGTTATATAATTATCATTTTAAATACTGTACAAAGCTATTTGTACCCATTGCGTAAGGTTTTTTGATCAAAAATGGCACTTGCATCCAAGCGGATTCAAACCCGTTTGAATTTGAAGCCAAAAATTAGCAAGGCGCGCGCAGATGAATGCCAAATTAAACCCCAAAGAATACTGTTATTAATAACTATATATAGTGATTTATATGTAGAATTTCATGTATATTCATAATATACAAAAAATATTTTAAAATCTATGCAAAATTTCTCAAAAATCGACAGTTTTCGATAAAAAAACCTCGAAATTCAGCACTTTTTTGACAAAATTTTTGAATTCAGTATGTTACAGTAACCCTATCAAAATCTTTACAATTATAAAAATATTCTTTGTAGTAAAAAGGCTCTGTATACACATTTTTACATTATTATCACTATAAAAAATATCACTTTGTCAAAAATTTCAACTTGTGCCAAGAGCAACTTTTTTCAAAATCATTATGTTACAGTAATCCAATCAACAAATTTACAATTACAGATGTGTTCCTTATAGTCAAACATTGCTGTACACAATTTAAAGATTTTTGTACTTAAAAGAATGTCACTTTGGTAAAAAATCCAACTTGTGCCAAAAGCAACTTCTTTCAAAATCAATATGTTACAGTAATCCAACCAAACAGTTTACAACTACAAAAGTGTTCCTTAAAGTCTAACGGCTCTTTCTACCAATTTCTGCTGTTCTATACTGTTTAGATTTGGCAAAACAGCAAAAAAACATTTTTTTTAAAAGTTGTCATAAAATCATGACTATGTCATTTGGTGTAGAAATACTTTACTCAATGTTTTTTGTAGCCTACACACATTTTTTGGGCCAACAAAAACATTTTTCAAAAAATTTTTTATTTTTGAAAAATTACCCCTTCCCACTTCATCACTAACCCTATTCCCCCGGCCAAAAAACTTAAAAAACAAGAAATCTGCCTTACCAACGATGGAATAGCCGTGAGTTGATTCTTGTCCAAATTCAGAGTACTCAAGTTCACCAAGTTCCCTATAGTACTCGGCAACTCTGACAGTAAATTGGCGGTCAAGAACAACTCTGTCAAAGCGCCACAACTTCCGATGGCTGGAGTCAACTTTGTCAGGTTATTGTTGTCCAGCTTCAGAATACCTAACCTCCTCAATCTGCCTATCGAATTCGGTAAGTTACTGATACAGTTGTTCGATAGTATTAGGTCGGTCAGCTTCTCGAGGTCGCCAAGTTCGACCGGTAATTCGATGATGCGGTTGGTTGATATGTCGATTTGTTCTAGGTTTTTACAGTTCAGTATTTGGTCGGGAAGGCCTTCGAGCGAGTTTTCGTCGGCGTAGAACTCTTGGAGCATGCGGAGAGAACCGATTTCTGGGGGCTGAAAGTGTCATGGTTAATATCATGTTAATACGTTCTTAAGACCTTTTAGAAGCTGAAAAGGCTTGAAATGCTAGCTTTATTAAACTTGTAAATAAAACTTTCAAATAAAGACGGAACGCAACCGAAGGTCGTATTTTACATTACAGAGTAACCTCCCTTTATATGAACATCAACATCAAGGACCAAGTCACTTGATATTGTCTAAAGCTTGTTACTTTAGTCAACCAATTTTTACCTCAAAAAAAGCCCTTTAGTTTTAGAAGAACAGGCAAAAACCCCTTAATCAAATTTCAAATCCATTATTTCAAAAACAAATTTTCAAAATTCAAATTTTTATTTTCCCGCCAAAATCCAAAACGCCTTTTTAAAGCATATGTTCTAGAAAATAACGTTCCTTATTGCCAGATAGTCTAAGTCAAGAACGCAAATGTCTTGGTATCGTATTTTACAAAAAACTATTGATAAATTACAAGTTTTATCCCTAAAAATTTTCAAATCTCAATTTTCCCGCCAAAAAACAAAATCCGTGTTTAACAAAATCCAGAATTTACATTTTAATACGCTTAAATTAATAATTATAAATTTCGTATTTTACCACAAACCTCATGGTTTACCATTGAGATTGATTGTTTAAAAATTAAAAATCAAAAAGTTTTCAAATCTCAATTTTCCCGCCAAAAATTTCAAAAGCATTCATATGGACATTTATGGTCAAAAAACGTTCTAAACTAGAACAGTAATGTAAAATACGCCTTGAGGTAAATATCCGTGAAAAAATTTTTTTGAAACCTCAAAGACTTCACCTACCAGTTCATCAAGCTCATTTTGTCCCAAATCCAGCCGCTGAAGTCGCTGAAGATGGGCTATTGATGCCGGCAGCGTTCGCAAGTGATTTTCCCTGATTTCCAGCGACCGAAGACCGGCCAATCGACCAATATCTGAGGGCAGACGAGTGAGGGATGTGTCGTTAAGGGATAACTGAGATAGGGTTGATACCATGGTGATTGAGTCTGGTAGACGAGCGATCGGGTTCGAGCTCACGTCCAGGATTAATAACTGTTTGCAATGTTTGAGGTCCTCGGGGAGGTCGGAAATGTCTGGAATGATGGAAATAAGGTCAAAAATTAAATAGAAGTTACGAGTTTGCTTTAAAAATGGTTAGAAAGGCTTAGGTATGATCAAAAATGGCTTCAAAAACGGCTTATAAAGTATGAAAATTGTTCAAAATAGGTCTGAAAACCCATAAAAAAAGACAAAAATAACCAAAAAACTTTAAAAAATCTAAAAACAATAAAAGAAACATCTCAAAATAAACTATCAAAAATGATGATGGAACAAAAAGAAGCGACAAAGTTACTAAACAATCAAAAAACAGCTAGAAACCGGCAAAATCTATCAAAAAAATGTCAAAACTTTTTAAAAAATGGGCAGCATAAGCTATTAGAAGCATATAGATAGCCAGGCTAGAAGAGGTATAAACATAAACAGAAAAAGGTAAAAGAAGCATAAAAATAAACAAAAAAATACACTAAAGTAGTCGTAAATTGTCGATAAAAGTATACATATTATGTACAGGGCCGGGCGGGGACTTTTGGCCCGGGGGCGAGATCAAAAACATTTTTTTTAAAAAATCCACATGGAGGACCACGTTCAATTTTTCCCTGTCCCTCCCCCCACCCCCCCCCCTAGGGGTGAGAAACGGACCGCCTAAGCCTGGCCCGGCCTTGAGCTAAAATTAAAACGGGCCGGGCCCAAAGGTTAAACCCCGGGCCTGGGCCGGCCCTAAAAAAGTCGGCCCGGCCCTTTTCTCACCCCTACCACCCCCCCCCCCCCCCTCGAAACTCAGATTATGTTTACAGTGGAACTCCTGTATAACGAATGCTTTAAAGGTTTATCAAGGGAAGTTTCTTTATATATAAGTATTGCAATGCACTGTGTAGTGGTAGACAGGGATTTTATACAAGAGTTCCAGTGAGTGTACTTGCTTTAAGACTATGAAAGCTCAAGAACTCGCATGAAAAGCCATCAAAACTGTTATCTAATGTCTAAAGTTTGTAAAAGGAAAGAAGAAAAACGGCTGAAAAAAAACTGAAAAATTGTAAAAATGATCAAGACCTGAATAGAAAAAGCCATAGAACTAGTCCCAAAATAATCAAAAATAAAAAAGGAAATCTACAATTGGCGTATTTTACCTCAAAAACCCCCATTAAAACCTCAAAAAACCCCATTGAAAACCCAAAAACTCCACCAAATCCTCCAAAACCCTTACCATTCCGGCTGATATTCAACTCGACCAACGAAGCCAACTGCCCAATGTCGCCGGGCAGTCGATGTAGATCATTGTCACTCATACACAAGCGTCGTAGTTTCGGTAGTCGGAACAGGAACTTGGGTAGATCCTTGATATGATTCATGTCCAACAACAGTTCTTCCAGCGTGCGCGCATACCGTTCCACATCGTTCGGCACGTTCTGGAGGTTACATTGGCGTTTGTCCAGTGAATCCACTTGCGTGTTGCACGCAAAGAGGGGAATGCAGAAGAATCGCATCGTAGGTGGTGGGTTTTATGTTGAGGATGACAGATTTTAAGTTGAAAATGACGTATTTTCTGGACAACCTATGTTAAGGATGACGTATTTCCTGGACACCAATGTAGAACAGACTATGATGGTCAATCTGATTGAAGATGATGTTGTTGTAGTAGTTTAGAGGACGCCGTGGCGTCCCACGCTTCTGCTCTATCCGGCTTCGCGGCTTCAGACGGCGCGCATTCGAAGAACAAACAACAATGTCCAATTCTTGTGGCCTAAAATTAGAGATTTGTATATTCAAAAATTGGATATTGTGTAATGTCGCGAGTTCAAATGTTCAAGAGTATTTGTTTGGGGTGGGGGTGAAAAGGCCAAATATTCTTGGCAAAAAAGGAGAGTTAAAGAAGTAAAATCTACCCTACCTACACTACTACAACGTACACTACCCTACTTTACCCTACTCTACCCTACCCTAACCTATTCTACCCTACTCTCAACCATCTTTTGCCCTACCCTATGTTTCCCTACTTTAAACTGTTTTACCTTCCTTAACCTTGCGCCATACTTCTCAGCCCTAGCTTAACTTGCCTTACCCTCGTTCCCTACCCTTTTTAAAAAGGTATTGTAAAGATAAAGGAAAATAACATATGTTAGAGTAGGAATTGTGGAGGGGGTGGATCCTCCCCCCCCCCAGAGCCGATCCGAAAAAATTGCATAGGTACTTGTAAGCAAAAAAATCGAAAAAAAATTTTTTTTTGAAAAGTTAGCCCATAAAAAAAATTTTTTTGGGTCTCCCCCCAGAAAAAAATCCGTAGCGAAGCCCCTGAGGCCAAGATAAAGTAAAGTATGTTAACATAAAGTAAGAGAAGGTAAAGTAAAGTGTAAGAACATTGAGTAGTTAGATAATACAGTCAAACATCTTCAGTATAACCCTCAATAGTAAGACACCTACTTTATAATTACAGCTCTTTGACCGCTCTTCTTAATATTTAAAGCCCCTATCAAAAACTACCTAAATAGTGTAACACAAAAGTTATAATGGCACTTTGATCCAGTCCCTTAATTTCATAAAGAGATTTAACAGTATTACCAACAACATATGTTATGTTATATAATAACAACACAACATAATGTTTCCAACAGCCAAAAACCCATAATTCAAAAACAGTAAAATATCATAGAAACCCCCTCTCGAATGCGTAAACATTATGACAAAAAGGAGAAGAGAAGACGTGAAAAACGTTAATGAATCGGCGTCACGAAATCCGAGCGCGTCAAGAGTAAAAATAACCGAAATCGAATACCGCGAAAGTCGTACAACATCATTAGTAATCGACGAATTCGAGTAACAGAAACTCGGAATTAGAAAAGTGCACAACGTGCTGGGCTTCAAATTTGGCATAAACATATTATAAAAAGTTAAGAAAGTCACAATTTTAAATTTTTTAAATCTTCATTTTCAAAATTGTTTTAAAAATTGAAATTGACAGTAAAATTCAAAATTTGACTGCTTTAATCTAGTCTACAAAATCATGCTTAAACCTGAAGGTAGGAAACGAGCCAAGCCAGCCTTGAGCTAAAGTTGAAACGGGCCAGGTCAAGACACGCGTAGACTTTTTGAGCGGTCCGGACCGAAGAAAATTAAAATCACCCGGGCCTAAAAACTGAACCCGGCTCTAGGGCTCAAAAATGGACTGCTCATTGTCCACCTCTACTTAAAGCTGTCGGAACATACTCCACCACATCCTACCTTGCGTTGCCCTGCCCTACCTTACGTTATCTCATCCTTTTTTTGCTTTGCTTTGCTCTGCCCAGCCCTGCCCTTGTCCTACCTCTGTTCCTTCTTTATCATACCCTAACTTACCCTTCACTACCATTTTTTCGAAAATCTTACGCCTAAACAACAGTAAAAACATTAAAAATTGTAAAACTACAGTGGCCTCTCTTTATAAGGAACACACGAAAGATAGCCATATTTCATTAATTATAAAGAGGGTTGCCTAAATAATCTCTAGTCCTGTCCTACCCAATCCAATTCTTTTTCTTGCGGCTATTTTTTTAAGAAAATTATACGAAAATTTCCTTATATCATTAAATATTAAGCCGAGTACTTAATTCTAATATGTTCCCTCCCAAAGAAAACTTTTTATATAACAGTTCATATAGACATTATTATAGAACAATTCATACAGACAATTATTTTCATAATTAATAAAATATAATCATTTTTCATACTGCTTATGCCAAGAATCGATTAAATTTCCAAAATGTTTAACCCAATTCTTATAAAATAAAAATCAGTTGATAAAAATGCCTAAAGCCCTCGGACAAACAGCGTAAATAAAGCGACAAAAAGTCATAAAACAGCGCGCCGCACGTGATCAAACGCGCTTGTCGGCTTCCTGCCCTCCGGCAAACAAAGATTTTGCCACGGATTTGCACGCTTTTCTCGTTCGGCCCGCTTTTTTCCGCTGAAACTTCTTTGAAGAGTTGACAAATTTTTCCGTGAAAAAAAGTAATGTTTGAGGTTTTTTGGCGTTTTTCACTTTTCATGTCACTGTTCTGACATTTGCACCCAAGTTTTTCAATGTTTTTGAGTGCAATTTGAGAGGGGAGGAGGTTGAGTTTAATAAAAATAATCATCAGTACACAACGAAGCCTACTCTAATCTATTATAATCTGCCCTATCCTATCCTGCCTTAATTTGATCTATCATGCCCTACCTTGACTTGCCTTGTCCTTTCCCACCCTGCCTTGCCTTGCCCTTGCCATGCCTTGTCCTACTTTGCCTTGCCTTGTTTTGCCCTGCCCTACCTTGCCTTGCTTTGCCTTACCTTGCCTTGCATTGCCCTACCCTACCCTACCCTACCCTACCCTACCCTACCCTACCCTACCCTACCCTACCCTACCCTACCCTACCCTACCCTACCCTACCCTACCCTACCTTACCCTACCCTACCCTACCCTACCTTACCCTACCCTACCCTACCCTACCCTACCCTACCCTACCCTGCCCTGCCCTGCCCTGCCCTGCCCTACCCCACCTTGCCTTGCCTTGCCCAGTCCTTTCCTACCGTGTTTTGCCTTGCCTTGCCTTGCCTGCCCTGCCTCGCTCTGCCTTGTCATGCCTTACCCTTCGCGATTTATCCTGCCCTAACCTATCCTCCCCTGTCCTAACTCTACCCCGTTCTTCAATGTCCCTACTCTTTCCTAACCAAAGCCAAAAACTGACATCTCAGCCCATTTTAATTTATATATAGTCAAAATCAAATGCAAAATCCGTATGAAAAGGATATTTTTTGCCAATTAAAGACCAATTCCAGTACTCTCAAAAACCCTCAAATCCCCTGCGGCTTATGAGAGTCAATCTTCTTTTTAATTCGCACTTTAGGGCTAGTTTTTCAACAATCTTTTTTGGACTTTAATGCAAATAAAAGGGCAAAATCAACAAGTTAATGGGTTTAATTTTAGTTCAAAGGTGTTGAAAGTTTACTTTTTCTTAATCAAAGTTTGATTTTTTTTGAAAACAACAATCACTTGACCAAGGTGTTGATCCAATGACAACATAAATTACTTTTTCTAGCACTTTTATATTTTTTCCATAAGGATCTTAGTCAAAGACTAGTGGAATCATAAAAATTTTATTAAAAATTCACAAAAATTCAAAATATTAGAGTTCGAAAAAGTCTTGTCGCCAATTTGCACTGTTTTGCAAAACCAAAAACGACAAGACTTTTGCAACATCCAAATATTTTTTAAATCCCATGAGTTTCTAATAAAAAGCTTTACGATTTCATGAGTTCCAACAAAAATTTTTATGGGAAAACAAATAAAAGCGCTAAAAAGAGTAATTTATGTTATCATTGGATCAACAACTTGGTCAAGTGATTCTTGTTTTTTAAAAAAGAATCGAAGGTTTATTGTGAAAAATAGATTTTGAACACCTTTGAACTATAGTTGAACCCATTAGTTTGTTGATTTTGCCCTTTTATATGCATTAAAGTCCCAACAGAATTATTGTTAAAGCTAGCCCTAAAGTGCGAATTAAAAAAATATTGACTCTCATGAGCCGCAGAGGATTTGAGGAGTTTTGAAAGTACTTTTAAAATTTAAAACATCTTATTATAACCAATTTGTACCAATAGCCTCAATATAATCAACCTGTACCTCCCAGTATAATCAACCTGTACCTCTCACTGTAGTCAACTTGTACCAACAGCCCCAAAACCTCTTGTGGTTGATAGCACTTAGAGATTATACATAGTACCTTACTTTATCCAAAAGATCTGCCTCTTCAACCCTACACTACTCTTCCATGCTTTGCTCCGCCCTGTCATTTCCCGCCTTGAGTTGTCCTGCCCTGACCTGCCCTACCCTGTCCTGCTTTGACAGTTCAAAAAAAATTCCACTTTAAAACTTTAAAATCAATAAAACCCCCACCCTGAAGCATTGCAGTAAATGAAAAAAAAACGTTAGTTTGGCCTAAATAACAAGAACGAACCTACTAAAAATATCGCCAAAACAATTTTCGATAATGAAAAAGAAAACGAATATTGTTCCGTAAGTAATTCCCACCAACTTATTAATAGCTACATGTATATGTTTATTGGTCTGTAAATATCATACTTGCTAAGTAAGACGGATTATGGATTTTGACACATGATAAACAGTCGCAGGAAGATAATGTTAGTTTGCGGGCGGGGTAAAAATACTGTTTTTTGAATCAGGGTATAATAATTTAAAAAAAATTTTTTTTGAAAAGCCACGGGGGTCAGTTAAACATTTTTGATAAAAAATGGGGAAGAGGGGGGGGGGGGGGGAGAGGTAAAAAATTGAAGGGGAGGGGGGGGATAGTCATAACTCAATGCCTAACATCTCCAAACCAGTAAATTTTTCACCCTACCCTACCATACCCTACCCTACCATTCTCAGCCTTGCTCTACTTTACCTTACATTACCCTACCCTACGTTACCATATTCTACTCCTACAAATAACCTTCCAAACCACAGCCTTCAAA